ATCGAACGAGGTACTGAAGTCAAAAATCGAAGCACTTTTACTGCCCCAAAACGTGATGACAGACAAAAAAAAAAACACATCATGGTAAAATCAATACATTCCTCGCTCCGCTCAGAATCTAAAATAAGTATATTAGGTATATAATATATATGCATTTATTTTTCATAATTTATGAGTACTGAGTAGGTACGATGATATAATATTATTCATATATTTTTAAAGACATTCACATGTTTATACTTGTATTGAACCATATACATTTATATATTAGGTACATTGTATTTTTTTGGGAGAGTGTATAATAAAATAATCGATAATAACACATAAACAGATAAACATAATCTTTAAAAATAATTTAGAGATACGTTGGATAATTATTTATAAGTAAAATTGAAGAGTTGTAAAAAGCATAAACATTTCTAGTGATGACTACAAAGTCAATGATCCAGTCGCTTGCCAAACGTCTGTTTTAAAGTTTTCGCACTTGTACAAAGCAGTATAATACATTCTATCTGCCAAATGACTAATGTTTACGATATCTTAAAATTAAAAAAACTACGTAATCATAATGTGTAACGACCTATGCTTAAACCGTAGAMGGTCCTGCTTACATACCTTTACGCTGTCATTTTATTTTATTTGATAATTATATAGGYCTGATGTGTCATAACATAATATTGTATATTTGAGCCATAATTTTATTGTGGTATGTGCAATATATTTCTTTACGGTATCTATTATCTGCCTATCTATAATAATCTATATATTATTAATTATAATCGATATTATTGTTTATACTAAGTCCCATGCGTGCGATGTGTTACAGAGAGGAGGTTCGAGATCACACGGTCCGGTGGGGTGCTAAATTCGAGTTCGTTTGCAAAATGAGTGCTAACGCGTCGACCGGAATATTGGACCCGTGTAACCTTCGGATATCTGTTCGCAAAGTATAATATACTCGTGGATGCGCGTGGAAACATCGTTTTGGTATTAAAAATTATATTAATCGTTCGTGTCTTATAGGAATTAAAAGGCGGTCGCAGCTTTCAAAAACTCGGTTTCACCGACGTTAATTTAGCTGAACTGGCTGGAGCTGGTTTGAGTTCGAGGCGTTGTCTGCTGGAAGGGTATGACACCCGGCATCATCGACAGGACAACTCGATGCTCCGGATATCCGTGTCCATGAACATGTTATCTGGAGACATATTATTCAAAGTGTAAGTAAAAATTACTTTTACCGTTTTATAAGTGTACACGTTTACAATATGTATCCTACTATATATTTTGTATGTCTTTAGTCAATTTATCAGTCATATAGTGTTCATTATTTTCGGATATTTAATGTASGAATACAAGTTCAACTATTGGTCGACAACGTACTTATTTTATAAAAGGCAATTATTGAAAAAAATATTTTCTTTTTTCCGCAGGCCAACATCCGCTTTAAATCAAACACCTACCACCAACGGTGATATCCCGCAACGCGAAGATACCGAATACCCAAGCAGCGGATTCGGCAGTCTGCCGAATACACGATCATTGTTTCCATCAGGTATACTATATATACATCATGCTATTATGTGGCATACACAGATATATTTCGGGTATATGACCGCCATTGGATGACTTTAACCAATAATTATAAACTTATGCGTATGCGGCTATAAGTTTTAATCGATCTATATGCATATAAAATTACAAATATTTTTTTTTAAAGTAACTAAAATGAGTTTCCTCCAATCTTGGGTGTTTCACCATGATTTAGTTAATTTCAATTATTTATTTTTCAAACTACGAAAAGGTTGTTACAATATATTATAATAATGGAGCATGACATCATATGGATCCAAAATGTCTCAGTGGGAAGAAACTGATTTTATACTACGGATTTTTCAACATATTTTTATTTGTTTTCTACTACCTATAACAATGCGTTATTCTTGTTTAACGATTAAATGGCGTGGGTAGTTGAATGTTGATTTCGTGTTTTTTTTCTGCTTTTGAATGTTTAATTTGTGTACGAAAATAATATTATTTATACCTATATATTATATACATACCTATATAGTTAAATTCGACTTGTTGACCTACTTTAAAAATACCCTATAAACTCTAGTTACTACTTACTTTATATATTGAAATCCTAGTCGTCGCTTTTTTGTTCCACGCTCTGTTCAATATAGGTTTGTCTAGATTCTTAAAGACTAAAATAACTATGGAAAATGGGTGATCGTATTATTCACCGACATTATACAATAATGTTTGTTTAACCCAAGATATCCCTAATCTCATTATGATAATGGAATACTATTTATTTAACTATTTTTTTTTAAAATGCATTTCGACTTTCACTGTAAGTATAAAATAGGAAACTACGTCGCGTATAATTATACTCTTAAAATATTTAGACTGTTTTTCTTTAATTGCGTTGCTACTTTTTACAATATGAAAACTATTTTTGTAGAGGACAAAACATAATAATGAATTACCATTTTCTTAATTTTTACGAAAAACCCGACAGTAAAATGTGACTAACAGTTTTTAGTATTTAATTTTATGTCGAGTTGAGTTGAAAATTGGTAAATATTAATGATTTTTCAGAACATAGAAAAACAATTAATTTCAATGCAATTATACGAATGTTTCGTATTTACAGAAAAAAAAATATTTGAAACCATGCAAATTTTTTTAATTGAATTTGTATAATAAATGGTTTCTGCAGTGTATCAAAAATCTTCATATGGGACGTAGAATTAAACGGTTTTTTCTATAAAATGCAATTTAATTATCATAATGATAATGAGTAGCCGAATAGTTACCTACATTATAATCATTTTATCACATAGTAATTACCTAAAATACATAATATTATGTACCACAGTGATCTTGCCGAATGAAGTGTGACGCATTGAAAAGCTTAAACCTGTGCTTATTGCTGGTTATCTGTGCTCGGGCCATATATAGTTGATCTGTGATATATTATAATGCACACTTAATGATACCGGATATAAAACATGTTTGTAGACATTCCATCCATAAGTGGTTTAGATAAACACGATGCTGTGTCCGAGTCGAATCAAAATCATTCGGAACAATTAGAAGACGATGCGATGGTGATGGTGCACGACAACGCTGCCGCGCCCACGGCCACTAACCACTTGACCGGCTCGAGTGGACATTCCCGTAACTCATCGAACACAAGCAAAGGCTCTAGTTCTCACAACTCTCATTCGAGGCACAGCAGTTCCGGTGACAGTGGACACGTCCGGTAATATAATAATTATTATTATACTGAATAAAATCAATATCCTTTGTACAGCGGTCGAATACCTATTGCGTTGAGCGATATAATATACGTACTATAGTGTACTACTATTATTATTATACCACGTACACTTCAGTTCGTATAAAGATAATTATTATGTATACGTTTGTATTATATAGCTTGGTGCAGCGTCATCACTTATTAGTTATTTGAATGAGTACATTTAAAAAGTATTCTCGYTGTCGAGTGAAATGTACCTATAAAACTTATATCGCTATCTATAGACTGYGGTCTCGCAAAAATTGATTCATTCTTTTTTCGTCCCATTCGGACAATATTCAAATTGTACAGGTGTTATATTATGCGGGTGAATAGGATCTGCATATAATTTTATCATTCTCCTCCGTCCGTTGTCCGCCTCAGAACAATTTTTTTTTCGTATCATATATTATAGTATCACAAGTAAACTATTGACAAAATAGTAATGTTATAGTACCTATATAAGTTTATTAAATTATTACCTATATATTATGTTTGAATGYGGACAACTTATATATTATATCACAGTAATTAATAATTAATACGTACCTACGTGAGTGAATGTCGAAATCGCGAAGTACCTATCTACTATTATGATATACCTACATCAGGTCACCGTCCTGGCCCGTGTGGTCACCTAATTTGTTGCCACCGCCGGCCACGCCGCCACCGGCCACGCCGCCACCGTCGCCGCCGCATGAACAGCACCCGCAGCAGCCTCCCACTACGCCATTGTGGAGCAGTCCTCGGTCCAGATTCTGGTCGCTCCGTCAGTCCAAACACCAGCAGCCGTCGCCTCAAGTTTGCACCCACCAGGACGCGTTCCGGACACCGGAAAACAAGCACGGTGGAGGGTTCCGGTTCCCGCCATGGTCTGGACCTTCACCCCGGACTAACTCGTCGCCTGGCTTATTGCCCCCGACCCCAGATTCCCCTAATAGGTAACGATCTTTCTGCCGTCACGAAATCTGCGAGCTACGCCACCCGCTGTCTTTTTCTTGAGATAACACGCTTCAGCCTTCACTTTAACTACCTCCGTATACTACCTCTCATCACCGTCGATACGAATCAACTTATAATATAGCATATATATTTTCACGTGGACTTGTGTTTATATATTCTTAATTCTAATTTTAATATCGTTTTATTGTATACCACTACCAAAGTAACACGGGATATGTGTTTCTGGCGTTTAAAGACATTCTTGTTTGCTCTGACGGATTTTGTTTTTAGTAACATGTTTATTTACAAATTTAAGTATCATCATATATATTATAATTATTGAACTATATTATAAATACACGCTTGAAATGTTTCTGATGATTACCCAACTAACAGTTCACAATAATCTGTTTAGTATATATATGGATGTACAAAACTATTGATTATTAACATTAAATCAATCGTGTATTATTCTTGAGTTCAGACGACCATATAATTGGTATTGAAGTAAACTGTTTTATGAGATACAGCCGCCGGCCGCCTCTTTTACTTCGCGGTGTTAACTAGACTTTAAATGTTCATAAATAATTAACAGTTTTTTCAGTACCTGATCAATATTTTGCATATTACAATAATATTTCAGAAGATAAAGATAGTAGTTGTATAAAAAAAACATCTAAAATTAAACATTTGGGTGAATACAAAAAATAGAAAAAAAATTTGGGAAAAAATTTGGTAATAAAAGAGAGTGTTATAAAAAAAACATCTAAAAGACACAAAATATGCTGCCCCTATAAATTCGAATATTTTTTGTATAATATGTTGGTATTAGAAGAAAATCTGTCTAAAGTCTAATAGATTAAACAATTTTATCGTTCCATAAATTAGGAGGTTTCTTAAATATGATTTCTGATTTTGTTTAGTATTAAACCGTTGTCAAATTTTAATTTAATCACTAACTTGTGCATCGTGTATGTTGTTGATTTCAACAAAATATAATATACAAGTTATGTTTAGTCGTCATATATTAGTGTAGCATAATATAATAATATATATTGTTATATTTTGTCTGCGTATGTGTTTGAATAAAAAAAAATGACATAAACATACACCGTTGAGCTTTAACTACATTATAACAATTAAAATGTAGGTACTATATATTAAGTTTTCCAATATATATAATATGGTATATATGTAATATGCGCACGTATGTGTAATGCATATCACTATATTAAATGATCGACGTCGAAGCGTATAACAAAAATATKACGAGTTTTTTTTAAATATGTGTACAGTATGAAATGTATTTAAAGAGTAGGTCTATCGCAATGAAAATCTCATAAATATGTTTGAATTTTTAATTTTTAATTATGAAAATTGTATTATAATAAGGTTTATATTCTATGCATCTGCGTAATATGCTAAAAATGTAAGAGCATTAATCTTAACCAAATTTAAAATGTAATTACATTACGATGGATTGACTCGACATATTTATTCCGTGCTGTATAATTTACTCTGTGCACAATGTGTTTAATTTATGCTTACAAACGATTTAAAAAACTAAGAGGAGTGAGTGTATTGGGAGGATTGTAAAGTTCTTTAGTTCTACAAGAGGTTTTGAGTTACGTACTTACGTTTTACTTTCTATATTAWACACATAATATTAATGCACTTAGCTCTTGTACATTGTCTTGTTTGTGTGTGTTGTGCGTGTTCAGGGGAAGTTGTATGCACCACCGTAAACTGCTATTGGAAAGCACGACTTCGGGTGGTTGTGGTGCAATGCTGCCGGGTYTGCTCAACATGAACTCGCTTCAAAAGCTTCCGGAACTGGACAAATCGCTCAGTACTTCTGACACCTTAGTGTCATCTCCATTCAGGCGGCCAAGTCAAATGTTAGTCGGTTGGCGTTCGTTTTTGTGTTTGTGTATGCGTGTGGGCATTAGATGTCATTGAATATACTACTTGCAATCGTTTGTGTCGTTTTTACAGCTTGTTTCGCTGCTGAGTTAACATTTTCGAATTATCTTTGTTTCGAAAATGATAGTATTGCATGAATATTATTTTTAACCGTTTGGTTTTCTATCTGTCCGATGATTGAAAATAATACACAGGTACCTATATACATACAACAGTATTTACTTATAACGTGACTATAGTTTATATGTAACTTGCTTTGATTTTGAAAATAATATTTTGATATGTATATTGAAGAATTTTAAAAACTTCATTTCAATATAAAGGCCTGGATATGCTTTTTCTGTTTTAATTAGTTTTCAAGGTTATTTGTTGTTTTTAATGATGGCTAATTTTTAAATTTATAGTTAGATGCGAAATATTTCTCTAAAACTTTCGATGTATATCAAATTTAAATATTAAATGAATAGTCTCAGATGTGTTTTTGTTCTTGCCATTTTACATAAYGGAAATGGTTTTTACCATTTTACTGCATTCATCAAAATCTTAAAAGCATACCCATTAATGTTAAAAAAAAACTTCAAAAACTATAAATTCAATATTCATACATCACAATTTTTTGAAAATTATTTTGCTGCTAATTTAGAAATAAAAAGTTAGGTTGTTATTAAAACTATATGAAAATATTGATTGTTTTTTTTATAATTTCAGCAATTGACTTAGGAAGTTTGTGTAGCCGTATAACTAGATCATCATGTAAATGTTAGGTAGAAGTACGAATACCGGTTAAACCTAGGAATTACCAGTAAATCTTAGGTTTCACCGATTACTGTTGGTAAATGTTCAAAATTTGCACTAAAATTCGGTTAAACATTGGAAACACAAAATTATTTGGTCAAATCCCGAATGATTTTTGTAGTTCGAACTTTTACAAACGGGATTTGATAAATCTTAAGGTAAACAATCAGTGTAAATATAAAAGTRTGAAATTTGTTATTAATAATTATTATTGTTGAAGTATATTAGGTAGGTCCTACATTAATGATTGGTATACCTATTAGATACACACATTTATGTTATTGCTATATACCTATTACATGTAGCAAGTTACATTTTACTGCGATTGTCTTTAACCATGGTTATCACAATCTATTATTATTTTAGTATTGACTTAGGGAATTTTAATTTCACCTTTAATATAGCACAATCAATAAATTAGCTAAAAAGATACCTATGTGATAAAAGTTATTCCTACTTAATGTCGCAACTGTCTTTGACTGGTGAACAAGTATTAATAATGTATGATTGTTTGRAAAAATGTATGAATAATAGATGTAAGTGCCGATTCAAAAATGTGTTGTGTAACTCGAGATGCCACAGCTATAGTAGCTAAGCCTGCACAAACAAATAATTGAATTATAATAAAAATAATATACTATATAGTAATTAATGTACTTAGAGTGCCTTTAATATACTAACACTGCAGTAACATCTAATAATAATATATAACATTAATATAAATGTGTGTAGGTATGGTGTACCTAAGATACTTCAACAATTATAATTACGCGTCGGCTGTGGCTCAGCCGGACCGAGTTCGATCCTCGACCATCAGGCGGCATTTTTCTCCGGGCAAGTCACGGTGTCCAGAGAACAAGTGCCGCCATCCTCCACTCCGGGGCATGGCAGAAACCTACGGGTGCCCCAATAGAAATTCTGTCAAAACTCTCACCCACGTGTAAAACCAACCTACAGTTCCATAAGAACCTACAGTACTACCCCCTTCCCAATGGCCTTAGTTGCCATGGGATAATAAAAAAAAAAAATTATAATTATTAATATAAAAATTCCGAGGTTTGACCAAATAATTTTTTAATATTTTTTTTTTACTTTTTCCTGAGTTCTTTAAATTTAATTAAATCTGTTGGATCAACACGATTAATGAATTATAAAAAAATATTTTTTCACTAGTTGTTTCTACACAATCGTTACGGGATATCAGAAAATGTGTAAATATATATTATATGATGCTACTATCATGGCCCATAATAGATTTTAAGACGTGGTAGATATTGGTTAACATTCTTGTTATATAGAATTAATATCATTCGCAAAGCGCTTATTGTTTTTCATTGCATGAATTATTACTAATATTATTTTGCTTTTACGTTTTATATTCATACTTAATAATGTAGAGTTTTCGAAAATTATTAATGATACTAGGTATAATAGTATTGTATATCCGCTTCATCTCGCCTGCACTGCTTCATGTTTACGGGGCAAAGTTTTCGAAAATTATCGATTTTAATCATTTTACGCAGTCGTAAATTTACTAAAAATAAAAATAAAACATAAAGTAGTAACATTTATAATTCATGATGGTGCCGTTCCACTGTTTGTTCGCCGCTGTTAATAATAATAATAATAATATATAAATTGTTTCTCTCGCTTCTCGACGCAATAATTAAATTTCAGTTTAATATCTTAAGTATTATAGTGTGTTATATTTCAGCCACATCAAGTTTGTCATATTGGGGATAATAATAATATGGTGACATTTAATGATCTTTATACACGCACGTCTCGCTTTTAAGCACCCCCAGCTGATGCATACGCTCATATCACTTAATATTATCATTGTATATACTTACTTTATGTAGAGATATATTATGTGGCACCTTGCACCCTATGTATTGCGCTAATTATATACATATTTATTATGTATGGAGTGTTTTAAATTGTTTGCAACAAAAACTGATTTTTGTATGATGTGAGATTGAAGATACAGTGGCTGTGTAATTTGTGTTCATTTGCTACTAAGCCTTTCCACGAGGGTGTGGTATTCTGTCCTATATTTGCTGCAAAAGTCAGACAGTGATAATTTATTTTTGGAATTTTCCTTAATTCCATAACTTTAAATAAAACCTAAACTCATAAAAAGAAGTTATTTTCAACACARATGTATAAAAATGTATGTTATTAAATAAGTATAATGTGATTTGTAACGTATAGCATAATCGTATGATATTTCAACATTTATTATTTTTTTTTGAAATTTCTTAATCGAAACTTTCTACTATAGTGCTATTTACTTTATTCACTGTGCATAAAACATTTAAAACTCTCTGTATATATTATACATGATATAAAAATTAAAAAATATGCTTGCATGCCTCATGCATATATTTAATTACGATGTATGTTCTACATACACTGTGCTCGTTCTTCATGGTATGTATTTCTGATCGATTTGTCTCTGCGTGTACCTTATAGTCTGACGTCTAGCGGCACGGCCATATCCACATCCCAAGCATCTCCCGTGCTCAGTGTTGTCGAGACCGGTTCGTTGGATCGCGGTAAAGCTGCGCTGGAGCGACGCAAAAAGTCGGCTACGACGGGTGGCAGTGTCACTGACGATAGCTGTGCTAAGGCCACCGGGCGTGTGGAGGTGACCAGGGTTAACCCGGATAGTCTCATTGACCAGCTGCTCAGGGCCACCAATCTAGATGATCATTCAGCTGACGAAGATAGCAAGCACAGTAAGTTTAATGTACTTATATATATATTAACCATATCCCGTTATTCAATTATTTCCTTCATCATCGTTTTTGTTGTTGTTATTGTCGTCGTGACTTAGAAGAATTTCGAAAGGTACTTACGTTGAAAATATGTTACCTTACATTTAAATACCTACTAAGATATTAGATAGTATCATTTTTTATTTTTACTCAAAATACATGATATGAATCATATGATAAATAATTAAAAATATATATATTTACCTATTAAAAATTATACTACTAATATCTTAGTATTTAAAAATTTAATTTTGAATTCCTGCATGGTTTTTTATATGACTATAATTGTAAGTATGGTGTTTAAATCTGAATATTATATTATATTAAGCCTAATAACCATAAAAAATGAGGTTTTTAAATTTTTTAAATGTAATTTTTTTTGTATTATTTCTAATGTAACAGAGTGAATTTTTTTCACACTTTTAGCTTCAGACACATATTTTGAAATTTGAAAATTTAGCAAAATTAACTTAATCTGTTTCCATTTTATTGAAAATTTTGATTTTAAAAGATATTTAGTTTTTTATAAATACTTAAAGCGTGGAATGTTATAAGTTAACATTTTTTTACGTACCTTATATTTTATTTTTATTTGGATTTTGTAGTATTGGAGTACGTTAAGCTATTCACTAAAATTTATAAAAACCCAAATAAATTAATAACTAATGGAATACATACTATWCAATTTATGAATATACATTATACTAAAGTGTTTGCCCCTAAGTCTCTCAGTTAAACCAGTATACATTGTATGAAATTCAAATTCAAATAAAATAAATAAAAATATTTTATCTTATATGTTTATTTTTTGGTTTTATAGGATCAGGGCTACAGTTGTTCATCGCCAAAGATGGTACGACCACACTTGGCAGTCAGGACGTCAAGTGTCACATGTCTAACAGTCTATTTAAACAGGTGGTGATGGAAGATAATAGATAACGCCTAAAGTGTGTATATCTAAGATATTTAGTAAGTGAAATAAAATTAATAATATGACAATAATACTCTATAGTAATTCAAATTTTCATTTTTATTCTTACAGAATATTCACGAGCTTAACGCTTTTTTTATTTTATGAAAAAGCTTACTTTGACTGAACACCCTATACGTTTGGTTGTGGAGCTGCTTTCCATTCATCGTACGGAACATGCATTGCCACTAATAGTCATACTACAGATTTACTGTCATCAGAGCCCTTCGAAGATGTTATTATCTATTAGTCCGACCAACAAAGTTTTATACACACATCCAAATTATATAAAAATTAAATTTGTTTACAATATTAATATATATTAATTTATATATTATATAACCTATATTGTTAAATGCTGCTCTCCTYATATGATTGCATACATTACTAAAYGAAACTGTGAAACTATCACTGTTAATTATATATTTTGGTATCTGAATTATGTTGATCCTTTGTAGCTTGTTATCAAGAACTCTTATATTTTTTATCTCCCCACGTATCATCGTGTCATGTTAAACAATAAACAGCAATGTATTCGAGATTAGACAGTCCTTCGTGTAATGAACGATTAAGTCACAAAACAATGTTCCTATAAAAGTYATAGATGTGTACAATGACATTAGTGTTGACATCTGTTATCAAGTATACATGTCATGAATATATTTAATTATATAAAAGTAAAATATATTATGATATCTGAACTGTTGTGCTTTCATTGCACACCGCAAATATTTCAATCGTTTTCRCCAAATGGACTTTGCTATGGGACAATTAAGGCTCCCTATACAACTTTGTCAATTTAGAAACGATATTCATTTCATTGTCAAACATATTTATATTTATTTATTTATTTTCATTATTATAAACAACACCATTGATCTCTCTCAGATAAATTAACCTGTGAAACATGCAGTCACGTCATTAATTATGCACGGCATATTATATTATAATTTATAAGCATTATCTTGTATTATTAATTATTTATTGTTTTTTTTTTTTTTTTTTTAAATGATTTGAAAGTCGCTTTTTCATACTGAAAATAAAAAAATGATTTGGTCAATTTTATTGAAACAATTTAAAATTTTTTTTTTTTTTTTTTTTTTTTTTTTAAATGATTTGAAAGTCGCTTTTTCATACTGAAAATAAAAAGATGATTTGGTCAATTTTATTGAAACAATTTAAAATTATTATTATTATTTTTTTTTTTTTTTGACAATTTTATTATATCTTTTTCTTGTGTTATTATTATTATTATTTTCTATTTGTTGAGCTCAAAATGGACTATACGACTTGAAATAATCACTGTTGTTATTTACTTATAATATACATTATTATTATTATTTTATTATATTTTTTGTCATCTTGAATTATTATAATTAATAGATATTTGTTTTATAATAACTATAGTTAGGTATCTAATCAATTTTGTATTGTTACATAACTATTATGTGCGCAACTAGTCATTCTCACATTAAATGCAATAAGTACGATAAAAGAAAGAGATGAATTGTTTGGTATTAATTTAATAAAAGATAAACTTTATTACATTTTTTTATGTAATTCAATACTAGTAAAGCAGACTTATTTTTTGTGGCGCATTATTATGTTTAATGTTTGTGCTTGTATTAAAGAATTTTTCATAAAGTTTAAATTTGACTATTTTTTAATTATATAATTTTGATAATCTTTGATCATGTTTTATTATTATTATTTGTACTCAAAATGTATATTACTATTGTGCTCATACGTTGCAAAAACGTGGTATAGTCATAATAATAATTATGAAATAATAATGTTCATTGTGTTAATACAACCAGTATACCTATGATATAATTGTTTTAAATCAGACCGAAATTAACAAAATTTGATATTATTGCAGTTTCCTTAATTATGATCATTTGTTCAATATCATAGTGTTGTGTATCTAATTGGTTTGAATGATTAAAAGTGTTATTTGTTTTTGGTAATTATTTTGTATTTTTAACATTTTCATTATTTATCAYTTTACTCTATTGCATACACACTAGATGAGCAATGTGTTGAACACTGGTATAAATAATGAATAGTTAAATAGAAAAACAAATATCAAATTATAACCTTGTATTTATTCTAGCTTATCACCGTCATAACAGTGTAATCACTTTTATAAAGTAATACATAAGTAGTTAATCATCTTCAACAAGTGCCAACTGTTTAAAAAAAGTACATTCTACCATTTAATAGCTATGCCATTTAGTTATTTAAGATAAAAATATTTTATCATTGAATTTTTATTGGAAATAAAAATATAAACTGTAGAAATTGCTCTGATGTATAGTAGGTTTTGAATGTATCTTGCCATTCGATTAGGTAATTGATGGATGTGCTAAATTTCAATTAAAATATGATAAATCAAAACACTTATACTTATTCTTTCTATTTTTTATTAAACTTATTGAAATAGTTGATTCAACGATTTTTCGCTAAAAACATTGTATATAATATTATTCAACATATTATAATACATTATATTGTTATACATCRTTGTTATTAACTTATTATCTAATACTAACATACAATTGAACATTGTGAATATGTTCATGGTATCAATAGTTTACAATTACTTAAGTTATTTTATATATTTTGCACATTTTATTGTATAAAGGAAATAATGATGATAAGTTTCAAATTTATACCAATACTATTTTTCAAATTTCAACATCTTTAGAGGAAAAATTGTAATTTTTCGTTTAAATAAACTGTTTTGTGAAAATTAGAGCTACATATTTCAAAGTAATAAATAAATTGTGCCAATTGTKCCAATGTAATCTTGGTATTGCTGTTAGATTAACTTAAATTATGAGAAGAACCTTGTGAATATTTTTAATCTTAAGATTTTAAGTTTAAAATATGAAATCCTTAGTTTAAACAACTAAATAATTTTTATGATTTTGTTAAAATTTGTTTTAAAAAATACGTGAATCTACTTTTGATATTTTTAATTTACATAAGTAAACTTAATGAGAAACTTGTGTTACATTTTCAAGTTTTTTGACTTAACATATAACTTTATATGATCTTTTAAGAAAAATAAAAATATCAAGGTGCGTTGTCAAAATGTTTTCCAAATTTTATAGTGCTTGAGAAATGATAATTAACTATAAAGGTATAGTAGTTAAATATTTCACTTCCAGTATTATTTCATAAAAAAATGTATAGTGTAACTTTTGTAAAATTAACTATTAAGCTTAAAATATATTAAKTAAACAATTACTAATTGTTTTAGATCTGTAGATCAAAAGTTTTGTATCAAGATTACAATTTTGAATTGGTTTTATACTTCTAACTAAAGACTAGGAATTAGTAATTACAAATAAAAAGTTCACACGGAAAATCGGTTGGTCGCTTATATACTCAAGTTCTATTAGTACAACATTTATTTTATTCTATGTTCATTGTTCAAAGATCGCCGGTAGACCACTCAGGTATTATTTATGGCAGCTATTTATGTATATTTTATTTCACCAGTATAGCAGAATATAGGTATGTAGTTATAAATATTATACATTATTGTTGGAAAAGTAGTTTTTGTTAACAAATAGTTTAAAATTAAAAATATATATTTTTAATCATAAAAAGTAAATTTGTAAATGTGTATAACTCACCTACAATACTAGGAAATACACTTAAGATTATATCACATGTCTTCTAAGTTGAAAAATTATAAATTTATAAAATCTTCGGTTTTTACWTAGCACTTGATAATCTACCAGAACTAATATTTATATATATTTAATATATATTGGCTACGCATACGTAAGAAGGCACAAAATTAGGTTATTGTGGTTATGTTGCTAAACAGTGATGGAGGGTGCCTAAAGTCTGAGTAGATTGACGCTTATATTCAATAAAAGATAGTTCATTGAATTCGGTCAGTCAATAAACAATGATGAGTAAAAATCAATTCGTAAACTCTGAAAGTTTTAAATCAAAAATTAAATATTATAATTTAATAATCGTTGACGGTGTCGGAGCCAACGTCGTTTTAGTGGCAAACATTTGCGCTTTACAGGATAAAACGATTGCGCTTCGATGTCTCGTAGAATAGTTGGATTTTGGTCGTTCTATTCTTCGTTTGAAAGATGAGGATTGCGAATCGAATGTGACTCGTTAAAAAAAATCTTGAGACCAACGTGACCTGAAGAATTGATAATACCTATGTCAATATATTTTATGTCTAGGCCTAAGACCACCTAATTCGTGGTAATCAATTCACAATTGACATTTTTACTCTGTATTTTATATCCTGGTTTTATATACTCGCGCAATTATTGTTTTGCCACTAATCACTAATAATTCATAAAAAAAACTGATTAGGTATACGAACGAGCAGTAATAAACAAAATCATAAGCTCATTAGCATGGTATTAGAAAAGTTCCAAGCATTATAATTATTTATTTGGATAGTTGCAATTTTTAATTAGAAAAATAATATTTAATTTAATATCCACGATGCCTACCGATATGCATATCATTTCAAACTCAAACTGAAGATGAATAATGATATACATTTTGCAATTTTAGGAATTTTTTGTATGGTTTTAGACATTTTTATAGTTATTACTTATTACCTATACCTATCTAACAGTATGCTATGATAAAAAATWAAATGAAAAATTTCTATCACACTAAAATTTTAATTATTGGTCAAGAAAATGTATTCATTTTAACCAAAATTGTTATACATCTGTATAAAATATTAACTGCAGTCAACACGATGAATGTATTACGAGAGTAAGCAATTAGGTTAATACTTAGTACCAACAAAAGTGACGAGTTATCCAATTTAGTTACATTAACGTTTTGACTTGATTGTCTTGATTTGAATYCTAACTCATTGTCCAGCTTTACTCATACATAGATATAGAATATTAGAATCTAAAGCACTAACAGAATCAGTAGTTGGATAAACTTTTTTTAATTGTGTGTATTCATTTGATAAAAAGTAAATTATAGTTATTTTTTTGGTCTAYCGAWTTTTTGACCAAAACACGTTCCTTGTGGCTTACATAAGATATTCGTACGGTTTTAGTTATTATAAAATATATGCTTATGATCAATCATCATAAATATAAAAGTGTATAATATTTGGTAAGTAAATTATATCTTGTTAAATAATATTGTGTGAATCTTTTATTTAAATGATTTAATTAGCCACCAATGTTTGGAAAATCTGAAATACATTATACACTTTATAGTCTATATCAAGGGTGGTCAACTTTAAAAAACTAGGGATCGACCTCTCAGGTTTTTAAGGTTGTCGCAATCGACTATAAAAAAAAATTTTTTTTCTGAAAAAAATTCAAAAATTTAAAAAAATGCCAAATGGTGTCGCGATCGACTCTAATTCACCTCGAGATCGACCAGTCTATCGCGAATCGACATGTTGGCCAACCCTGGTCTATATTATTATTTCTGATATTTCATTGTTTTGTCAAAAGAAAGTTTCCCTAATTTGTTCGCATACCGGTTAGGTATATAATCGTAGAAAATCTGGGCGGCGCACGGGATAGGCAATTAAGAGGCATTTGTGTGTAGAATGCATATTATAGTATGGGCTATAACCTAACCAAACCATGAACTTCAAACWCAATGTTCTGTCAATTAATATTACGTATTAAAGTCTGATTTTTACAACATATAATGTCGTTTTACTTAATACCAACATCAACCGTATTCTTTAATATTTTAATATTATGTGAAAATTGTGTTTTCTTTCTTCTCATAAATTTGTTTTTTTTTTTGGCGTTGTGGTTTATGTTATATTGATGAGGTAGATTTTGTATGTAGATAGAATCACTAACACATAACGAAGTCTTTAAATAAATTATTATACTTGTGTTGTTTGTTAATAAAGCTATTTTATGTATAAAAATATATTTTTCGATTTTCCGTATTACACTTATAGATTAGTTTTAAAAATCAGACATTAGCAATCAAAAAACACATTTTGGAAGAGA